GTGGGCGCTGGCTGCAAGGAGCTATTCAAGGCCGCGGTCGCGAAGATGCCGCCGCAGGTTTAGTGAGTCAGGCCTTCGTCTCTCTTTTTGCAACCTAACTAGTTGGATCCCTCTGGCTAGGTCTTTCGTTGCTCAGTTGCATGGTCAGGCTGGCGCCTTCACGGTCGCTGGACGCCGCCAGCTTCCCGTCGCTTTGGAGGCGGCTAAGCGTGATGTTGTCGCCGCTGGGTGGCGCCCCCGCCTCCTCCCTGCCTCGCCTTCTCCTGGGGGCGGGGCCGGCCCGCCGCGGTGGCGCGGGAGCTGCGGTGCGCGATTTTTTTTTCCCCCCCAAGGGGTTGTTGGCCCATGCTGACCAAATTCGGTGTGTTGGTGCTGGGAATGGCTGGGTGTTCCTGGAGTTCCGAACCCGATCCTGCGCGATGGCCGCCCATCAATCAGAGGCCGCCCGGTTTTTTTGTTACATATAAACCAAACAACTTTCAGTAGTGGCGGTGGGCCTCTGATTGATTGCGCGATCGCCATCGATGCCCTGGCGCCCTACTAGGGTGTGACCAATTTCCAGGCTTCCCCCTTTAAGACCCCACGGTTGCCTTGATATCCAGTTGCCGCGCGCTGCCCTGTTGCAGGCGATGACTACGCGTGCGTGGCCAAGCGTTATACTTGAGTATGATGGACCTGCGCTGCCTTGGGAGCATCATTTTAATGCTGAACTTGCGGGGTGGACATTGCCGCAGAGGTCAATGCAGCCCCTGCTCCCACGTGTCCAAGCTCACCTTTTCCCAGGAGCTGATCTCGGCTTTTCTCTTGTGGCCCCGCGCGAAGGAGAGGATGATGATGTCAGTCGTGGGGGGTGATGTGGATGTGGAGGTTTATCGGGGACGGGGGACTTCGTGGCTCTCCGACAGACCACTCCTACTGACCGTGATCAGAGAAGTGGGTGTTCTGCCCAGCCGCTGCTCGCGCACTGGTCCATTGTTTCGCGCTCAGCTCTGCGATGCGGGATTGGCCGTTCTTGACCGACGTCATGAGATGATGGGTCGGCGCGCGGCTGCCCCCCCTAAGGCGCGGCCAGCGGCCCGCGCGTCGGCTGCCGAGGCGATCGAGGACTGGCTTCTGAGGGCGCTGCCCCGAGGTGCTTCTCAAGCTCGCACCTGGCTCAGGCGCGTGGAGCAGGAAGGGTTGGAGTTTTCGTTGCCCCAGAGGTGGGCCCTCCCATTTCCCCGGGAAATGATGGCGCGCCGCGAGAAAATCTGGGGGAGTTGTTGGTCCGCCAGCCCGATCCAGATCCGACGGTTGAACGAGGCCTTGGGAGATCTGAGGGGCGCGCTTGGACGTTTGCTTGAGCTTCCTGAAATCGCAGCTCGGGACCTCCACCTTGCCGCGGAGGCTTTGTGTCGGAATCCGCGGGGGTGGGTGTTGATGGATGGGGGCCTAGGGATTTTTTGGAGTTGGAGTCTGGTGTCGCTGAATTTCTCGTCGGGCTCTTAAGCGATTGCGAGGCCAATCTGATGCGGCCTTCCCAAACCCTCCTTGGGGTTCAGGAGCAAGCTTGGCGAGCGCCCTGCGAGCAAGTGCCCCGCCCCCCACCGTGTCCGTCGTCGTGTTAGTGGGGATTTCTTGGCTGCCCAGAGACGGGGCCTCGGCGATTTCTGGGGCGGCGCCGCCAAGGGCACTGCGGCCCTCCAAGCTGCGCTTCGCCGAGAGCTCTCCCACGACGCTGCGGCCTTCCAGGATGACCAACGAGCAACGCTTTGCGACCCATTGGGGTTTCAAACAGTTTTCTGATCCGATGTTCTGTGCTAGGCTTGTGCCTTTTGCAAATGCTGTAAGGCTCCCACCGCGCCTCCTCTACCTGGGCCTCCTCGCGCGCGTGGCTCCTGGAATGCCCGAGAGTAGCGGCTTCTGCGCCCAGGTCATGCCTGCTGGGATTGGGTTCTCACTGGATGTATGCAATCTGCGTCCTGGGCCAACGTCTATGTGCATCAGATACTGCATGGTGTTCATAACCGATATTTCTTAGGGGGGGCCCTGTGTGTCTACGAGGCCATATGTTGACGATATATCGCAGGTGTGTTAGGGAGATGAAGACCGGGTTCGAGGGCGCATCGCTGCCGCAGCAGCGCAGCTTGGCCATTCGGCTGGCGCGGCCGAATTTGTCTTATATAATAAGTCTGCGATTGTCGCGAGCCGACGGCCTCTTGCTCTTCCTGTGGCTAGTGGTTTGAACGCAGCTGGCCTCCCAGTGAGAGTCGAGGATGTTTCGCCGGACTTGGTTATCACCGCTACTTTTTTTTTGGGGGGGGGGGCTGCTGCGGAGGTCCGTGCCAGGCGGCGGAAGGCCGCAGCCCGCGGGGAGAAAGTGCGCTACTTGACTTCGCTGGTCAGAGCATCGTCCAAGCTCCACGAGCCAGGTGTGCTCTCAGTGGGCACCTGGGGCCCCGATGTTGCTGGCCTGTCGTGGGCCCAAGCGCAGAGCGCCCGTGGGCAGGCTGCCGTTTGTTCTGGCCGCAGGCATGCTGGAGCTTGTTCTACCGCCATCCTGAGCGTCTTCGGGGCTGAGAAGAACAACTCCATTCTCCGCTTGCGGCGTAACCGTTTATTTTGGTTTTGTGTGTCTTTGGAAATCTCTGGCAGATAAGGGGAAGATGCGTGCTTCCCAGGATTGGCAAGCTCTGTTTCAGGTTTACCTCGGGATCCCCAGGGACCAGGTTTGGAAAAAAAGGGTCCGTGGGCGATCGCCGCTAATGCTGCTGTTTTGCTTGATCTGGGCTGGCGCCCATTGTCTCCTGTCCATTGGCGAGACAACAGTGCGAATGACTTCTACGCGGAGGCCCTTGATTTGTTCTGTCACCTCGCGACGCGCGGTTAAGGCCATTTGCAGCGACCTGGCCTGTGGGACCAGGCTGCCTAGCACTACCGTGAGTATGGGATCGCCTCGGGGGTTGACGTCGCTGTTCTGGGACAGGCGATTGCTCGGTTGAGGAAGGATTTGGGTTGCGAAAGGCAGGCCTTGCTCTTGACTCTCGGCTCTGTTGGTTCCTGGGCAGATCAGAGGCTCCACGACGAAGGATGCTTGGCGGTTTTCCAAGGTTTATGCCCGCGGTGCGGGGAAGTTTGCGGGGCCCCCTTTCACGGGTTTTGGAGCTGCAGGTGCGATGATTCCATCCCTGATCCAGTTGTGGAGCGCGCCGCTCACCTCCGCGAGCGAGCAGCTCGAGATGTTGAGTGGCCCGCGCACTGGTGTCGGGGCCGTATGCCTCTAGATAGGACGGTCGGGCATCTCCCGATCGCTGCCAAGGGCGTTTTTGGTTGGGGATCGTTCGATGGGTTGCCTGTCTGCCAAGGGGGCGTTTGGGGAATCGGCGGATCGGGAGGGGGGGGGGGGGGGGGGGGGGGGCGCTGAGAGTGATGGGCTAAGGCAGTGTGGGTGGTGACGTGTCAGACTAAGTATCACCCTAGACAGCATGGGCGGGGGCATCGCGGTGACCTTGGGGCCTAGCCCACGTGCTGAACTCCTCGCTCTGACTTACGCGTGCCATTTGACGCTTGCGCGTACCCTGGCGTTCCATGGTTATTTCCCGGTCGCGCGTGCTCTCCGACGTCCACCTGCGTCGTGGGCCACGTCTGATATGCTTGACCTGCGGGTCCGTTTTTTTTTATGGGGGGGGTCTTGGGCGCTCGGCAAGGAGACGTTGACCTTCGCTTGGCAAAAAGCCGCCCCGCAGGCCCCCAGGTCAGTGCCCTCTGTCTCGCGTCGATCGAACGGCTCTTGAATGCCGCCGCAGACGCCTGTGCTGGGCAGATGGCCCGTAGAGCGGCTGTTCCCCACGAGTTGGCGGCCATCACGCTTGATCAGGATCAGCTCATTAGGGGTATCATTCGGAGACTCCTAGCCATCCAGCGTGAAGTTGTTGTGGAGTATCCGCGCGAGCGCACCGTGCATGCGCTCGTTGGTCATGAGCATATGCGCGCGCGTGCTTGAGCGAGCAGTGTGCAGATCCGCTGTGAACGGCCTGAGGAGCAAGACCCTTCGCCTGTGGTGTTGGAGACCCTGTTCAAGTGTAGTATCTGTTTTGCACGTTTCAGCAGGAAAGGGCCATTGCTTGTGGCCTGGACCCTGCAACGCTGGGCGCTTTGCCCAGTATCGAGTGCCTCGGGAGGATGAGGGGCCAGGTTTGGGCCCCGGGGTCGCAGCTTTGGGACCCGCGGTGCGCCCCATGGCCATCCATTGCCATGAGCCCCATTCCTTGTCCGAGCTGAATGGGGTGCTGTTTTGTGCCGTGTGCGGCAGTTCTGCGGTCACCAGCGTTTGCAATTTGAAAAGCGATTGCAGGCCTCCGACCAAGAAGGGTTTGCAGGCATTGGGCCGAGTCGAGAAAGGGCTCCCGCCAACGTCGGGAATGTCGTTCCCTCGGTGGTCGTGGTGGGGCGGCCAGGCTAGCATCGGGGCGCTGCGCTTGCGCCATAGCGCCATAGTTCCTCTTCCTCCTCCTCCTCCTCCTCCTCCTCCTCCTCCTCCTCCTCCTCCTCCTCCTCCTCCTCCTCCTCTTCCGCACCCTAAGAGTTTCAAGAGCCGCACGAGCTCCGTTGGCTCCATTATCCCATGATCCCTACAGGCGCTGTGAGCCCCCCAGCGCTTCCTAAACGCTTCCATGAGGCCCCCCGAACAAAAAAGGCATCCCCCCAAACCCACAGAAGTCCGTCATAAAAGGTCGCCGCTTTCCTCCCTTTTTTCTCCTCTCCCGCCTGTTCCTCGCCACGCTCGTTCCCTTCTTCCTCGTCCGGGGGCGCATGAATCTAATGCGCACTATGCGCCCTATGTGCCTCTTTTCGCCCATGAAGCCCAAGCTTCGTGTTTCATGCAACCGTATGGCCTTTGCGATCATCCGGGCCCGGACGAGTCACGCATATCCTCCAGAGAGCCCGTACAAACCACAGCGCCCGTGAACCCTATTAGCATTAGTCCATGAGACCTATGAGCCTGCAGTGAAGCCCATCAGTCCCATCCGCCCCACGATCTTCATACACACCAGCGCCAAAATGCACCGCGGCGCTGGCGACTGGAGGTCGCGGCGCGCCTTTCAGGCGCCGTGCAGCCAGGATTGTACAGGCGAAGCGAAGCGAACCAGCAACATCTTGCATATGCGCATAGTTGTCTCTCTCTCTCTCTCTCCCTCTCTCTCTCTCTATATATATATATATATATATATATATATACAGAGGGTGTGAACCATGTGGTGTACCATGCTTTGCGCTACGTGGCGCAACATGTGTGGTGGAATATTTGTGGTGCAGGCCGTCGCATGCCATATGGTGCAAGCTATGTGATACAACCTTTCTGATGCACCCGTGCGGTCCAAGCTGTGTGGTGGGCGCTGTGCGGCGCACTCAGCGCACGGGGCGCAGATGAGGCGCCCACGAGGCGCCCGCGTGCGGCCAGAGCAGCCGCGAGGTGCCCAAGGCCAGTCACCAAGCGGGCGCCAGGCAAAACCCCGACACCCATCCAGCCAAATAGAGAGCGCAGCCAAGAACCCCCCCGTGCAAGCGCTGCCTGGGAAGTGTGTGGTCTCGCCTGCACAATCGGCAGGCAGATCCAAGACTGCAGTCCATCTGCTCGCGCGGCTGGTGAATTCGGACCGTGGGCCAACGTAGTCGCACGGCACGATGTTCAAAGCGTGGCCCAACCACGGGTTCATGGGAGCTGCACGTCCGCTTCGCATGTCCTCAAGGGTCAGCGGCAGCATCGGACGCAGACTCTGAGAGCTATCCGCGCTCCGTCCTCGGAGACCGCGGTCGGCATGATACGCGAGCAGGAGTTGCGCCAGTTCTTCCCAAATCTCAGGGCTCTGCATGTTCTCCTTTGGCGCCCTGGCTCCTCGCAGCGTGCTTCCCTCCGAGGCTTCGCTTCCCAATTCTGATCACCTCCACCCTGGTCTCGTTTCCCTTGCCATCTTCATCTTCATCTTCATCTTCATTTCCATCATCATCATCATCATCATCAGCATCAGTTCCACGTTACCCGGCATGGCGTGCCGAGTCCATTGTTTTCCACCTGATTCACAATTACGAACGACTAACTGCCCTGCCGTGGAACCACTTATAGGCAAGGCCGTCTTACCTGCCGTTTCGGTTGCCTGGCCACAGGCGGCGACCACGTCCAGCATTACTTCGATTGCCCTCATGTCCTGAGCTTGCTCCATTCTGTTTTGCCCTTCCTGCCAGTCGAATATTTGAATCAGAGCCTCGATGCGCGTATGCTGTGCACTATGCCATGCCAGTCTAGTCAGCAGCTGTTCTCTTTGTTTCTTGTCCACGACCTGCTTTTTTCTACCTTTAACTCCTTGAGGAGCTCGCACAGGTACGGGCCCGAATGCCTGCTGCCTCTCCTGCGCGCGCGTGCCCGCCACATTGCCAAGAAGGGGCGCGGCGTGCGGAGCCTGCTCATCAGGAGGCCCGCGGCAGAGGGCAGCTGAACTGCCCCCCTCTCTGGCGCGCTCAGGGGAGTGCGATCATCAGCATCAGTTCCATCTTCTTCTCCTACAGTTCCATCGTCATCGTCTTGCCATAGTCTTCTTCTACAGCTCCATCATCATCTGATCATCATCATCATCAGCATCATCATCTTCATCTTCGTCTTCATTTCCATCATCATCGTTGTTATGATGATCAGTACGATCATGATATTGAATTCTATTACTGTCATTTGTACCACTATTTTTTCATTCCAGGAGTTGTTACATTATAATTACCAGCATGATTGCCATTACTATCGTCGAATTCATCGTCATACTCATTGCCATCGTCATCGTCATCGTCATTTTCAGTATCCTTCGCGTCGTCGGCATTATCATCACCATCATCAGCATCACCAAAATCACCAAATCATCGTCATCATCATCATCATCATCATCATCATGATCATCATCGTCATCATCGTTATCATCATCATTATCATCATTATCATCATCGTCACCATGATCAGCATCATCATTATATCCATCTTCATCATTCTCAGCCTCAACATCACCGTGACCGCCATCACCCACCCTCATCATGATCATCACAATCATCACCACCATTACCGCCACCATCATCATTACCATCACCACCATCACCGCCACCATCATCACCATCATCATCATCATCATCATCATCATCACCGTCATCATCATCTTCATTGTCATCGCCATCACCATCATCATCCTCATCATCATCAGCTTCATCATCATGTGCACCATCATTATCATAATCATCATAATCATGGTCATCATCATCAGCACCATCATCATGATTATCAACATCATCATGGTTATCCACATCATCATCACCACCATCACCATCACCGTCACCATGACCATCATCATCATAATCATAAGCATCATCATAATCATCATCATCCTCAACATCATCATCATCATCATCATAATGGCCAGCATCACCACCACCCTCGCCATCATCATCAGCAACATCATCATCAAGATCACCATTCATCTCATCATTCTCATCGTCGTCATCATCATCAGCATCAGCATCTTCACCACCACCATCATCATCATCACCACCATCTTCATCATCATCATCATCATCATAATCAGCATCATCATCAGCATCATCATCACCACCATATCGTCATCGTCATCATCATCGTCGTCGTCGTCATCGTCATTGTCATCGTCATCGTCATCGTCCTCGTCGTCGGCGGGCTCTGGGTGTGCGAAGCGCTGGCGGCAATTCCAGCTGAGAACACGACCGTACTGGGGATGATGCTGCGCTGCTGCCCATCTGGGGCGGTCTTGGCTGGATCTTGACCCCCCGGAGGGGCCTGCCATCGAAGGAGAAGGCTCGGCGGCACTTGCCTCCTCGGACTCCTGTCGCACGGGCTTCGCTTGCTGCCCGACGCGCTGCGCAGCCGCGCGGCGCTGGCGGGCAAGGGCGGCACCGCCATTGGCAGCCGCGGCGAGGCCGTGGCGGACTACCTCGCGGTCGCCATGGCCGGCGAGGGCGGCGACTTCCGCTCCGACCCCGACGACCTGGCGCCCATTTCGGCGCCTACAGCGGCGGACTCCGAACCTGGGGCGTCTAGGGCCCAGGATGTGATCTTCTGCGTTGCTGAGGCAGCGGTGATTGGCCCTCGGGGGGCCCCTTCGTCGCCACGGCTGGACGCAGCTTGGAAGACTGGTGCGTTCGGAGCCCGGCTTGGCGGAGAAATCCGAACCTTACCCTCGCCGATCAATGATTCAGGCAGCTTGATGGGCGGCGGGGGTCGGGTTCGGAATTCGTCGAACACGTGGCGAAATCCGAACCCTACCCCTTCGCCTCACATCGGTTCAGGAGATCTGGCGGTGAGCGGGAGTAGGGTTCGGATGTCGCCACCTAAAGACACGGCAAATTCCGATTCGGATTTCTCAGATCGGTGTTAGACCCCCCTCCCCTGGCGCGCGAAGCCCGCAAGTGGCGGCGCGCGCTGTCCAGTGCCGATCCAAGAAATCCGCGCGGACCTCTGGAAGCTATTCTGTATGTGTTTTGTTTGTCCAGGCCTCCCAGATGGGGTCAGAGCAGATGGGGTTGGAGGGTCGCGCCGCATCGCCGGTGCATCGGCGATGCGGCTCGATGATGATTCCGATTTTGTCCACGCCGATGTCGCCGACGCATCATCGACGTCGCCGATGCATTGCCGATTTTTCGGTGATGCATGGTCGATGCGGCGTGATTCTCCGACCCCTGACCCCATCTGGGAGACCTCGAAAACATACAGTGTCCCCCGCATACGCTGCCGAGACGTCAGCCAATGAGCCTCTCGTCGACCCTACGAGGCTGGCGTCTAGCTGTCGTCCTTACCTGGGAGGAAACGGAGGAGGGGAGGAGGGGATGAGAAGGCAGGGAGGAGTAGCTGGATGAGAGGATGAGGATGAATGGGTTGCTGCTGATGCTGATGATGGTGGTGGTGGTGATGATAATGATGATGATGATGGTTATGATGATTATTTTGATGATGATGATGGTGATGATAGTAGTGGTGGTGATGATGGTGATGATGCTGACTACGACGACGACGATGGCAATTATGATCATGCTTGTCTTGATGACTATGCAGCCGATGATGCTAACCATGAAGGTCAGGATGATGAGGATGAGGAAGAGGAGGATGCGGATTAGGGAGAAGGTAGGAAGACTGGAGGAGGAGGACGACTGGAGGCGGAGGAGGAGGTGGAGGAGGAGCACGCGCAGGTGCCGCTGGGCGGGAGGGCCAGCGTCGGGCGAGGCCTGGAACCCTGGGAAAACGCATGCAGTGAACCTTTCGGGTGCCCATATTGGCCCGCTGGTACCCAGTGCCGCTGCCGAAGTGGATGATGATGATGATGATGATGATGATGATGATGATGATGATGATGATCATGATCATGATGATGATGGTGATGATGTTGATGATGATGATGATGATGATGATTAAAGCGACGATGATGCTGCTGCTGCTGATACAGCTTATGATGATGACCACGATGATGCTGGTACTGATGCTGATGATGTGTTCGATGATGGTGATGATGTTGGTAATGATGATATTGATTATGTTGATGCTAATGAGGCCGATGCTGCTCATGATGATGTTGGTAATGATGATGATCATGAGGATGTCGATGTCGATGATGATGATGATGATCATGATGATGATGGCCTTGATGATGACTATGGTGTTGATGATGTTGACGATGCTGATCATGCTCATCATGTTGATTGTAACGACGATGACGATCATGATGATAAGCACGATGTTGATTATGACTTTCCTGATGATCATGGTATCATGATCATGGTCATGATGATGCTACCGTTGCTGATGCTGATGTTGATGCTGATGCTGTTGACGTTGATGATGCTGATGCTGATGTTGATGCTGGTAAAGATGACTATGCTTGCGGTGATGATGGTCATGCCGATTCTGACAATGCTGATGCTGATTGTGATGATTCTGATGACGATGCTCATCATGCTGATCATGCTGATCGTGATGATAATGATGATGCTGCTAATTATGATGCTCATGATGATGCTGATGATGATGATGATGACGATGATGATATCGCTGATGACCATGATGCTGATAGTGATGCTGATGACGATGATGGCGATGCTGCTCATGCTACTGCTGATGATGATAGGGTTGATGATGATGAACATCATCACGATCCGATGACGAAGATGCTGATTATGACCATGCATATGCTGATGATGTTATGGTGGCGACGATAGATCTGCTGCTGATGATGCTGGTGATGTTAACGATCGTGACAGTGATGCTCATGCTGATGCTGATGATGATGACGAAGCCGATGATAATCATGATGACAGATGGTGATGATGACGATGATGATGATGATGATGATGACGATGATGACGGTGATGATTCTGATAATGATGATTATGATGCTGCTGGTGATGATGGTGATTATAATTATGAAGTTCACGACGATGACGACGATGATGATGTCGATGATGATGACGATGATGATGCCGATGATGATGTTCATGCTAATGATTACCATGATTATGACGATGGGCATGATGATGCTGGCGACGATGCTGCTACTGATGATTATGACGATGGTGATGATACTGATGACGAAAATCGTGATGACGATGTCGATGACGATGATGATGATGACGATGATGATGCTGGTGATGCTGACGAGGCTGTATGATGATGATGATGATGGTGCCGATGATTATGAAGACGATGACGATGACGATGACTGTGAACATGATAATGCTGGAGATTAGGATGATGATGATGATGATGATGATGATGATGATGGTGGTGGTGACCATTCTTTCGATGATGATGATGCTGATGATGATGATGATGATGATGATGGATTTGACGCAGGTGATGACGATTCTGCTGACAACGTTTGATGACGATGGTGATGGTGATGTTGGTAAGG